GGGGGGGGGGGGGGGGGGGGGGGGGGTATTTTTGATTCTAGTAGTACACGTAGACGATATGTTTGCAGTGGGGAAGAAGGAAAGGTGTGATCAGTTTGGGAAGGACCTGGGCGAGTACGTGCCGGTGAAGTCTCTGAGGGAGTTGAAGTAGTACTCTGCTTGCTATTACGAGAGGGACAGGAAGGCAGGCAGGTTGACGATTTCGCAACAGGCATACACCGAAGAGGTGGGGGAAAGATTTGGTGTCGAGTGGGAGGAGAGCATTCCCTTGCCTACTACCTGGAGACTTTTGGACTTTGACGTGAACGAGCCGAACGTAGAACACCCGTTTCGTGCGCTGATTGGTTCGCTGCTCTGGATTGCCTTGTTGACTAGGCCAGATATCGCGAATGCGGTGAGGGCAGTGGCGAGGTACTGTAGTTGTTGTTGTTGTTGTCTTCACATTAAAAACCATCCCGGTCTCTCTATCCAGTACCTCCTTCTGTCTCAATCTCTCCGTACTCATCCAGCACTTGACTCGGTCAATTTCCGTGGTCACAGGCTAACGTACCTAGAAAAGGTATACCAAAATAAAATGGACCCCAAGGTTTAGGAGAGCGATGTAATACAAGAGAACAATAGAATCAGAAACAAATAAATAACTAAATAGTGGAACGTGCGCACCACCAGCCTGGGGTGTAGCCTTCCGGAAGGACCCCAAGGGTCAGCAGTACGTGCCAGTAAAAAAACAAAACAAAATGAAACGAAATAAACCAAAGACAGACGAGGACATGCACAAACTCGCACAGAGACAGGATATCCGTAGAGACAGTCTGAACGCGACAGCAAACGGGGGAGAGGGCAACAGAAAAACTAGTCGCTGAAATGCAACCGCAACATGTCACGTCACGCGGTCGGTCTCTTCTCGCTTGCTTTCTTCCCGCGCCGTTTCCTCCCGCCCCCCTCCCGCCCCGTTGATTGGTACCGTATCTAGACTATTTTTGGGCCCGCTGTCTCCTCTTTTGATGGCTCGTTGTCGGCTGGCCTTCTCCTCGCCCTTGTGCCAAGAGGCCATAAACCTCTCAGCTCCCTGTAGCACCCAAATTGATGCACTGGAAGGCTGCAATCAGCATCATAGGATATGCAGTGAGGACTAGTTCTTTCGGGATTTCTTTTCAGAGGGGGACAGTTTCGGGATTTTCTTTGATCACGTTCGCCGACGCAGACTACGCCTCGCGTGCGGCGGACCGCAGGTCGGTTTCAGGGGGAGTAGTGATGTGTGCAGGAAGAGCGATCGCATAGTTTTCCAAGACTCAGAAGTGTGTGACCTTGTCTACTACGCATGCAGAGTACGTTGCAATGGCGGACATGGGGAAGGTGATTTTGTTTTTGAGGCAGGTTTGGCGTTTCATGTTGCCGAAGGAGTTGCGGCCGTGCATCCCCCTGTATGAGGATAACGAGGGTGCTATCCAGATCGCAAAACACCCGATCTCGAATTCCAACTCGAAGCACATCGATGTGCGGCACCACTTCCTCAGGCAGCTCCTAGATGAGAACAGGTAGAGATCATCCACGTAGCGTCGCAATATCAGCATGCTGACTTCCTTACGAAGGTCCTACCTGAGAGAGAGTTTGTGTTCCACAGGGACTACGTGATGAATTTTGATGTGATTAGTCTCAGTGATTTGTTTGCATTTGTTTCTTTTGTTATTTCGCTTTATATATTGATGAATTGATTTTCTGGGAAGTTGGATTCAAAAATTGACTGATGGAAGCTCTTGGAAGTGATTCTGTTTTAAAGGATGTGGCTATGATTTCAAACCTGTGGGAATTCTAACGAGTGTTTCTGGTGTAAGGGTTTAAAGTGTTACGACAAGAATGCAATTTGAGATGGAGGGACTGTCGAACACTAATTTTCCACGTATATGGTACGGGAATGGGTGTGTAGTTATGATAGCAATTACCGTGTCCGGGTATAATCTTGCCAATGCAGCGAGTAGGGGGGCTGTTGGATGTACTCACAGCATCGACAGATTATCTATTTTATGCAAGAATTTTCCAAGCAGACGGAGCGGGGATTTAGGGGGTTCAACAGTTGCTATGAATTGGATTTGGTGGTACCAACTTTGCCGCATATAAGATTGAGGGTATGGGTATCTACAACGGATGTGATGATGTGGGTTGTGGTTCCGTCTCTTTTTTTTCCTCCTTTTCTGTATTATCAAATCCTTTTCCCCGGCTTTCACGCCACTCGGCTATCACGCCACCCGGCTTTCACGCTACCACCAGGGCTATCACATCCATCCGAGCTACCACCCTTCACAACAAAATAGGAAGTGGCTGCCACGCCAGCGGATAATCTTCTGTATTTTCACCGTTCAGTGGCTGCCAAGCTGCTGGCTCTTTTATTTCCCTTCACGGGACCCCGCGCCAAGGCACCAAGCTACTCAACAAAGGAGGAGGCCGACATCAAATGAAACATTTTCGGAAATCTCTCGACAAGACGGTCAGTTCAAACGCCGTCATTTCCGGCACCGTCGCCTCTATTTTTCCTGCCGGTAATCTAGCCTTGAAAATGAGTCCAGCGGGTAATATCTTACATGAAGCCTATGGTAAGTGCGTGGTGTCCACTCGGCTGTTGCTGTCTTCGTCGCTGGGCGAACAAAACATTCTCTGACCCTCTGTACTCTGTGCACACTGGTGCTATGTTTATTGCTGCAGGGCAAGTCTATGAACCTCTGTACTCTGTGCACGCTGGTATTGTCTTTGTTGTCGCAGGGCAAGTCTCTGAGCGTGATCTGCAGCGCCCTTCAGTGGCTCAAGGACGCCGAGGCCAAGGACGTGGACGGGAAGTCGGACGGCGGAGGCTCCCCCGCCGGAGGAGGCGGTGTGTACCCACGAACCGCATCAGCATCTGTGCATCTATCTACCATCTCGTCTGCACAGTATTTGTGGGCTCTTCTCTGTGTATCCATACAACACTCCCTTGCAAGTCTGTGCGTGGACCATGAGCCATGAACACCGCTATTTATCATCTACGCTTAGTTTGGAAGTGCGGGGGTCAGAAGTTCAACTTGAACGCAGTGTATCAGCGACAATGAACACGAATTTCCCCGTGTCCATCAGTTTGCATGGGCTGTTCGTTCGAAGATACTTCTCGGTGATCAATAGAGCAGTCCAACAATCACTCAAAAACTACCCAACACGGGCTACGGCCGCAGTCGCTTCTACATCTTGCCCCCGAAGTTTGCTTTCGCGTAACCTATGCGGAGGCTGGCCCGCTTCGCCTTTGACTAGCTTACTCCTAGGCCGCAAGCATTCCGTACGCACTCTCCTGTGCTGCCCTATAAATTGGCTGGGAGCTCTGCAGGATGCGGGGGGGGGGGGTTGAAGGCGGAGCCAAAGAATTACCGAAGGTTGCATAGATTACCACACGGCTTGGACCGGGTTTCAAAGCCGGCTTGTTTACTCCGCTGAAAATCTGTGACGGTGCCAATAACGGCGGCGATGGAACCGTCTCGTCGAGGACTCTTCGAAAACGTTTTGTTTTAATCTGATATCTTTCGATGGAGTATTCGAGCTTGAAACAAAAGGTCCACGGGATGTGGGATCTTGTGCAACCTTCTGCATGGTGTGGCCACAGCACATGCGTTCTACCCGCAAGTGTATACGACACAATGTAGCACGCTTCTCCTGGCTTCTTTGTTGATTGGATAAGACTTTTACTCAGAGGGCCGAAATTTTCGTCTACGCCCTTTGACATACCACCGATTGGTTTTCGTAGTACAGAGCATGAACAAGGTGGATGCGAAGCAGCGGGGGCATCACAAAGCGGATGGAAATTATGATATTTGACGACCTGGCCTCGTCTAACATCGATATCGAAGTGCTTTCTGTGTCCGTTTATTGTTTGGTTCGCTGACTGGCCAGACTCGTCCTCGAAACGTATAGGGGGGTACGGGACAGAAAGCGCTTCCCGTGGGCGCGGGGAGAAGGACGATGACGACGACGGGGCGAGCGCGATGCCGAGCTGGCTCAGGGACATGACTCGGCAAAAGTCCGACAACGAGAAGGGAGCGAGAGCGAAGTAGGTGGTTCGGGCTTAGCGAGATTTCATGTTGATCTGGAACCTTTTTATTACTCCTATGTAGTCTTCGAGCAAGCTTGAGGGAATGCCTACCTGGCTGCCGAAGACCTGCTCGTCCCCTCGCGTCTGAAGGGTGCACGCGCGAGGGCACACGCTAATAGAACGACCCCTGCAACAACGTAAGTAAGAACAATCCTCTCTCCTTCTCCCTCATCTTTTGACCTCTCCCGCGACAACGTTGCTACCGTTCTCCCGCCGTCCGCCTGCCCGCATGCACTACAACAGGCGCGTGCGAGAGCGGCGGCGGGACCTAGACGAGCGCCTTGCTGCCGTCCGGAAAGAAGACGAGCATCGCAAGAACAACAACAAGGTGCGCGGCGTGCATCGCCCAAGCGGTGGCCGTGGCGGGGGCGGGGGCGGCGGCGGCGGGAGGCATTGGTCCTCGTCATCCTTCGCTCTTGGCGGCAGCGACAGGGGAGGGGCTGGCAGGAAACGTCCCCGCCCGAAAATCTCCGCCTCCTCGTCGAAACACCCGCCCAAGACAGAGAACCAGACTCGTGGGGATGGGGTTGGTTGTGCTGCGGATGACGGCGACGGGAAACGTTCGGCGGAGGAGGGAGTGGACGACGAATATTTGGTCGCTGAGTACGATAGCGGGAAGGAGGGCGGTGATGGCGGTAAGGGTGGGGGAAGGGGATTCCGTGAATCTTCGGATGAAGAGGAGGAGGCCGGAGAAGGGCGGGGGGCGGAGGAGGAGGAGGAGTGGGAGGACCTGGGGCTTCGGCAGGTGCGGGGTGTGCGTGTCCGTGATCAACTTTAAGAAATCTGCGCACGGTTGTTCGTGTTGGCGCGGAGTTGGTGTAATCTTTGTTGTAGAATGGCGGGAGAGCTACTTTAGTAGTCTTGGCATGATCCGAGTTGTCACTTGGCGCGCCGGTTCGTAAGGGGAAGGTAGTAGGGCTGTCTCTCGTGCTTCTTTCTACTCGTAGTACGGCCGTTCTCCCAATCCCTTTTGAGCACCACAGAATTTCGAAGTACCCGTCGTGGGTGGTGACCGTCCACGTGTCCGCCACAACAGTGGATCTCTTGTGGAAGGACTCATCTCATCCTAATGGACGAACGTTCCAATTCTGAAAAAAAGCCCGACAAGCTACCGCCCTCTTTTTGGGAGTCTCCAACTAGAGGGAGTTCCCCGTCAAGATCGAGGACAGTTCCCCGTCCAAGTCGAAGACATGGTGTAGATCGACGCACTTGGGAGGCATATTTAGCCCTTCCCAAGAAGGATGTTCGTTCCAAGAACAAGCCAGGCTGAGGTTTTCCAATCATGGTAACGCGTATTTCCTCAGCGCCTGATGGATGGATGTTGGGGCTTCTATCCGCTCACTACCCCAGTTGCTGGAGTGATCAATGGACGTGCCCGACGGTTGGTTGTTTTCTGGGCTATTCGGGAGGGATGTTGGTCCCGGTAGGGTTGTGCGTGAAAACTCAACGGGCGGCTTTGTTTCTACCGTTTAGCAGCGGGCCTTCGCAGTCCGCGAGTCGGGGTTTATCCCACCGAAAGAGCAGCATACACGCACACACCCTTCGTTGCAATAGACCAACCAAAGCGTCCGTGCGGGTTGTCGCTGTTCCCCCGGTGGCTGTGGTGATGCGGCTTGAATGTTGGTGGTCATGGTGATGGTTATCGTCGGTGGTGGCGGCGGCATCGCGTCAAGCCACACAGCCGTCTCTCGTGTCTTTGTTCTGTTTTGTCACGTTGGGTTTTTCGAAATTGTGCGACTGGTGAGTTTGCTTTTTTTGACTAGCTTCGCCTCCGGTACTATTGTTTGCCTCGGTCTTTGCCTGATCTGTTGATCGTTTTTCACGTTTGCTGTGCGGCGGCAGATTCTGTACGTCTCCAGGACACACTCTCAAACCAGCCAGTTCGTCAACGAGGTAAGCGAGGGAACCAGACGTATATGGACACGTGGCGAACGCGAAACATATGAAACGTAGTGAAGGAAGTACGGAACCAGACGTACATGGACACGTAGCGAACGCGAAACATATGAAAGGTAGTGAAGAAAAGTACGGAAACAGGCGTGCATAGACAAATTGCAAACGCGAACCATATGAAAAAGTGTGGACCAGACGTACTTAGACACAGATAAGGCGAAAGCACGTGAAGAAAAACAAGCACCTCTATGCAAACCTCTGAAGTATGGGTGGAGGGAGAAGGGGAGATGCAACGGGTCCGTTGCAGGGGTAGCCCACACAGCTCCTCGTGAAGCAGGGATTGGAATCACCCTCTCGCCCCAACAGTTCCCCCATGTGCGATATGGTGTACTTCTGTTGACACGCTGTAGAGGTAGCGCTCAAGTCTTCGGGGTAACAGATGTGGTGATATTAAATGGTGTGGTGCACGCCATCACGGCACATCCCGGCAAAACAGAGCACGCTCTGCACACTTATTTCATTGGTAAAGAGGTGCTACGGTTTGCCACTGGATAACTTGTTTTTCGTTGTGTTGTCCACGTGCACGATGGTTTCGCTGTTGACACGTGCAAAACACTGTAAGGGGTGATAAGTGATAGGCCGATTCGGTCCGCGTAAGGACCGGGATGTTCTGAGTCAGCGCTGCGTGTTGGTGTGCGAATCGACACCGACGAGTGGTAGCTGCTTCACGGCGCAGAGGGGACCGAAACGAAGCACCTGCTGTGGTTGGTATTGTGCAGGTGAAAAAGACCGCGTTCGCGAAGGGGGTGCGTTGCGCCTCCCTGGGCAGCCGGCGCACCCTCTGCGGCAACGAGCGAGTGTCCTCCCTTAAGACCGATGGGAAAATGCGAGACGCCTGCCTGGAGCTGCAGAAGAACAAGAAGAGCAGTAGCAAGAAGACGAACAAGGGGGATGAGGGGAAAGGAGGTAAGCACGGAGCGAAGAAAAGTAAGAAGAAGCAGAAGGCGAAGACTGAGCCCTTGACGGAGGCAAAAAGGAAGCAGAAGCACGGCGCCGGTGGACTAGGCACACGGAAGAGCGAGGGCGAGGAGGGAGAGGTATATTCTTATTCTTTTCGAGTGTCTCGATCGTTGTATGCCCTACCAGGCCTGACACGTGAGGATATCGTGTGTTTTCGATAACCTTGGTTTGATGAATGTCTTGTGCGTACGTCTACGCGATGGATTTTTTAGTTTTCCGAAACTGGGGGGTTATCCAAGACGACATTTTTACCGTAGGTTGGTACCGTAATAGGTCGGGGAATGTCATATTTTTTTTCCATTTCCTACTCTGCCATCCACGGGCAAGCGCCCGGGGACGGGCCTACCGAGACCCCTCATCTATTCTTCGACTCCTCTTGTATCACAGCCAGAGGAAACGGCCGCTCCTGTTCTGTTTTGTCGGCGAAGACTTGATTGACCGGGTTGGACACGTATCTCCTTTCACGCACACACACGCCGTTTCTAGATCGGGCAAGACTTGACTCTCTCTGGGGGACGTGACAATTTTGTTGCCTTGTTTGCACCCCCTCCCCGTCCTCGGCACAGCAAAAGCAAGGATGATGACCAGTTTCTGGTTCATCCTTGTGAACAAAGCCCGCGCAAGCGAAAACCCGGCATATCGCTCCTTCCCGGCGTTGTAAGGATGGGAGGTCAACGGTCTAACGACTACGGTACGCGTTTACATGACTACACCCCCCTGACTCGTTCGAAAACCCCTTTTCATGTCCAAACAATGTAACAAAACGTCGCCTTTCTCTCGTCTACGTACTGCAATTGCTTCTGCTTCGTAGGAGGAGGAGGAGGACGACGACGATGAAGACGAGGGGACGACTGACGGGTGTCCCCTGCTGGCCGCGGACGGACAGAGGGAGTTCCCCTACCGCGCGCTGGCGTCCGTGCGCGACATCGAGGAGCTGGCGGCACTGGGCAAGGAGGAGGGCACGTGCGCTTACTACGGCGCTCGCAAGGCTGCCTCGCTGGCCCAGGTGAGCTCGCGAAACGCGTCGTTCATCGGCGTGTGGGTGGTTCGTAGATGCATGGGTGTGATCAGGACGGCTGATAGCAACGTTTTCGGTCGTGAAGGTGGAGTGTGGTAGCTGAAGGGGGGTGAAGGTGGTCAAAGGCTGCCACTGGTGAGACTAGGTCTCTGCTGGAAGGTGCCCAAGTTTCTCTCTATCTATTGTATCTATCCTATCTATCCATCCATCTCTCTTCCTCTCTCTCTCTCTCTCTCTCTCTCTCTCTCTCTCTCTCTCTCTCTCTC